CCGGGGGCCCCCGGCCCAGAGGTAGAGTGTCTGGTGTAGCCGCCAGTGACTGGGAACTCGGCGGGGGCTGGGCTGGGCGTGCTCACCGTGGCCGAGTGCCAGTTGAAGCAGTGCGTGCGGAAGTGCGCCACGGCGGCCTGGTAGCAGTCATGCTCCGTGAGCGGGGCTCGCTGGGACAGGAGGCCCTCCACCTCGGCCTCCGACGCGGCCAGCAGGGAGACGATCTTGCGCACCGACACGGCGATGACGTTCCTCACCTGGGCGGAAACACACCTTTTCAAATGCGGTCTTCCTTGGCATCACGATGGTGAGAGCACCTTTCAAGATGGGCACTCACAGGGTACCCAGCCCCAGCTGGCTGATGCAGACGCCAGCAACCCCATCCAGGACGGGCAAGAGGTGCGGCAAGGCTGTGTGCCACCAGAAATCCCTTGGCTATCAGGGACCTTCTGGCACGAGGGGAGGAAGTGGGACTCAATACTGGAACAGCAGGGCCTGGCCCACCTGGGGAGGGTGCAGAACCTGTGCCCCAGAGCAGACCAGCGTCCCCTGAGCGGGGCTGAGTGTTCACGGGCACCACTGCCCACTCAGGAAACCACAAAGTGGCTGGACAGAGGGGCCTGAAAGGGAGCACTGTATCCCTCCCGGATCCCGAACTACAGCGTCACGAAAAGGGACCGCTTCTGTGTTAACCTAAATCCGCAAGCGTCGCTCTCTCCCGTCTTTTTTTTCCTTACCCCTTAGTTTTTGCTGTAAGGTGCAAGCACTTGCAGGAGAGACACAGAGAGAGAGGGAGGGAATGTAAGAAATCGCCCCCGGGGGGGAATGGCCACACCGTAATCCCTTCTCCTCTGTTCTCTTGGCATTACCAACACTCATGAGTCTGGTGTATCTCAAGTCTGAGGGTCCGGGGCTCTGGGACTTGAACTGCGCATCAGCTAAGGATCCACCCTTCACCACCATGCCACAGGCTGCCCCTGTCCCGTCGTGTCTCCCGGCCCCGCTCAACCCCTTGG